GGGCTGGTCTCTGCAGGGATCAGCCCTGCTGGAAAAAGTTCGTGCCAGGGAACAGAGGAACAGGCACTTGTACACTGTGGGAGAACAGACTGGCAGTGCTCAGAAGAAGCCCAGCAGAGGACTGGACAAAAGGAACACCTGGAAGCAAAATGACTGACAAACTTTCTCTGGAAGGAGCAGTGACACAATGGGCTCAATGCAGACCCACAGCTCCTGGAAGCAAGATGAAACCCAAAAAAGACTGCAGTGGGAAGAATTCAAAGCTGTGAGGGTGCTGTAGCAGCTGGACAGGGCTGCAGCCACCAGCTAAAAACCTCAGCCAATCATCCATACAATGCTGACTGGGAAAAAACAGAAATGGGGATGGCAATGTACTGGTGCAGAGTGCCAAGAGTGCAGCTGCTTGGTGCACCCTGCTTGCAGAAGCACTTTCTGAGAGGTCTCCCCACTTCCTGGCACAAATTCAACTTGACAACCTGCTGCCTCATTTTTTTTCTTCCTGCTGGAAGAGTTCCTGTACATCTCCAGCAGGACACCAGGGCTTTCCAGCACCGAGCTCTAGGAGCACAACTAAACAGTTCACACAAAACAACTAATTGACCCACTGGGTTTTGCTTCCCTGCTGCAAAACACTACAGTTTTTTTCTGCTCCAGCTCCCTGGCAGGAACTCACAGATGCACTGAGGGAAAACATGCTGCAAGACTGCAGTGCCAGGTACCCACACTGAAGAGGAAGGGTGACAGCAGCAGGTTTCTGCAGCTCGTGAGTAACAGGATGCACTGCTGCCCTTCCACTGCTGCTCTGGGGCTCTCAGGAAAGGCCCAGCACAGCAGCTCTCATTCCCTGGCTCAGCAGTACAGATTTCCCTGGAGACAGCAGGCTGTGAGAAAATGATGCTGTGTTCTGCAGTACTTCCAGGAGCTGCACACACTTGGCTCCCATCCCCTTGTCAGTGAAGGCAGCCTCACAAACCCAGCAAAAAGTTTCAGTGATAAACTACTGGCACTTCCAAGGACATTAGGAAAGCAAGCAGAAGGCTCCTTTCCCTTTGCCATACCCTCCCCTTGGGCAAACAATGAAGAAAACACTCCTTTCTTTGCAAGTATCCTCCCCAGCAAGACCCCACTCCCCTGCAGAACCTGCTCTGCAAACACCCCTACAAATGAGGGAT